GCCTTATTCACTGATGGATTCATTCTTTTATCACATATTTATTAAGAGTTTACTATAGGTGGGGTACTGTGTAGGCACTGGGGACGGGATGGTAAGTAAAATAGATATGGTCCCTGTCCTCTTAGGTTTTATAAATTAAGAGGGAAAGACATGTTAATCATAACATCCCACAAATATTTATAAAATCCTCGTAATGATAACTGGTAGTTGAAAGGCACCTTGGTGAAGGGCTTTTGGCTGGGATATTTCAGATTTCTGATTGGTTGAATTTGCCTGTGGTCATCCTGCACCAAACGAGATGCCCGTGTACAAATATGCCCTTCTCTGTGACAGCTCTGAAGGTGAGGTTATGTTGCATTGCCTATTTTTCATACGGTTTACCTAGTTTTTATTTGTATTTACTACATATTTAACATTGATTAGTTCATCAGATTCATGGGATAATGAGTCCCAAATGTAATGCCCCCACCCAAATGATACCTAGGAAACATGTGTGTGTGTGTGTGTGTGTGTGTGTGTGTAGCATTACATAGACAGATTGTTGAAAGTCTGAAAATCATCTGGCTTGCTGGGATTCCATGTCCTTGGGATTAAAGTGAAATATGGGAAATGGAGTATCTTTTTGCTCTCAGTATTCACCAGTAAATGTCTGCATGGCAGATTTAACGAAGACTTGGGACCAAAGATGTTTGTGATGGTATTGAAACCAAAGGGCAGCATAGTAAAAAAAAAAAAAAAAAAAAAAAAAAAATATTGGACATCCCAGATTTTAAAAGTCCCTCAAGAGTTTCCTTCCTTAGGGAACCTTTGCTGCTCGTTCCTTCAGTTCAGGCTCCTTCATTTCCCCATGTTGCCCAGTCTATCCCAGCTGTGCCCTGGGGGTGTCTTTCAACAACTATTTCCTTTTGTTGATGATATTAGGACTTGCTGAAGGGAACATAAAAGGACCCCGTTATCAAATAAATTTGGGGAGCTCTGGTTCAGCCACAATAGGATTTTTAAAACAGATTTGTCAGTCTTTAGTATGCTAATACATGTTGTAAATTTCTAGGAAAGTGATTTATAAAAAAATCTTTAAAAAGATTCATTTTAAGCATTTCTTACAAATTGCATCATTTATGATGATTTTGACCAGGCCACAGAACAAACCCTGACTTATAATGATCTGAGCAATGAGAAATTTTATTGCTTCGTGTGACTGGGAAGGTCAGCTGTGGGATAGTTGATCCTGTGAGTCAGTGACAGCATTAAGAGGTTAGGTTTTCCCTTCTTTGCCTCTGCCATATTCAGTATTGACTTTATACTCAGATTGGTAACAGAATGGCTGAAGCAGGTACAGGCCTCAAATTGAGAATGGCTATATCCTTAAGAAGAGGAGTGACCATTGCTTCCCAGGGCTTTTTCTTAGGAGATAAGAGACTTGTTCTAGAATCCCTCAGTAGACTATTTCTCACATGTCTTTGGCTAGAATTGGGTCTTAGCCTTATTGCTAAACTAATCCACAGCAAGGATGGATGAGCCCTTCCTTAAGCGCCTGGCTACACATGGGATAAGTAGATACCTGCACAAAATAGAGTTTCTATTTGGAAGGAGATAAATGCTGGGCAGGCCGCTAATAATGTCCATTAAAGACACATTTACAGAATTGTTTCCCTCCCAAAATTGATATGTTGAAGCCCTAACTCTAATGCAACTGACTGTTTTTGGGGATAGAGTCTTCAGGAAGTAATTAAGGTTAAGTGAGGTCATAAGGATAGGGCTCCAATCTGATAAGACTGGTAGCCTTATAAGAAAAATGAGAGAGAGAAAGAGAGTCTACACCCAAGAAAAGCCAGATGAAGGCAGTGTGCAAAGGCAGCCATCTGCAAGCCAGGAAGAGAGATCTCACCAGAAACCAACCCTGCTGGACCTTGATCTCAGACTTCTAGTCTCCTGACCTGTTAGAAAATTAATTTATGCTGTTTAAGCGATCCGGTCTGTAGTATTTTGTCATGGCAGCTCAAGCTGAAATTAATAGGAAATTAATATAATGCAGTTTTTTTTATAATTTTTTTAAATGTTTATTCATTTTTGAGAGACAGAGAGAGACAGAGCATGAGCGAGGAAGGGGCAGAGAGAGAGGGAGACACAGAATCTGAAGCAGGCTCCAGGCTCTGAGCTGTCAGCACAGAGCCTGATGTGGGGCTCGAACTCAAGAACTGTGAAATCATGGGGCGCCTGGGTGGCTTGGTAGGTTAAGCGTCCGACTTCGGCTCAGGTCATGATCTCACGGTCCTTGGGTTTGAGCCCCGCGTCGGGCTCTGTGCTGACAGCTCAGAGCCTGGAGCCTGTTTCAGATTCTGTGTCTCCCTCTCTCTGTGACCCTCCCCCATTCATGCTCTGTCTCTCTCTGTCTCAAAAATAAATAAACGTTAAAAAAAATTAAAAAAAAAAAAAGAACCGTGAAATCATGATCTGAGCCTAAGTTGGACACTCAACCGACTGAGCCACCCAGGCGTCCCTATAATGCAGTGTTTAGAAAAATTACAAATGCTCCTTTTTCTATACCAATTCCATTCCCTGGAGATTGCTGCTAAATACAATTTGTGGCATAAGTTCCTATTCTTTTTAATGCTTGCCAAATGTCCCTATATGTTCATATGTACATATGTGCATATATCATTCATTGCAGATGCATGCTTTCTTGTTTACTTTTTATTTAAATTAAAAAAATGTTTATTTTTGAGAGAGAGAGAGAGAGAGAGAGAGAGAGAGGGAGAGAGAGGAAGAGTGTGAGTGGGAGAGGGACAGAGAGAAAGGGAGACACAGAATGTGAAGCAGCCTCCAGGCTCCAAGCTGTCAGCACAGAGCCTGATGCGGGGCTCAAACCCATGAACCGTGAAATCATGACCTGAGCCGAAGTTGGATGCTTAACCGACTGAGCCACCCAGACACCCGCACTTTTTACTTTTTAATATTGACATGTTACTTACTGTTATTCAGGTTGTTTATTATCACTCAGCAAAAATACATAGGCCTATCCATTCCTTGTAAGAGTTGCATAGGTATATCATGCAGATGTATCATAATTTGTTCAACTATCTCAGTATGGAAGGATGTTGTGCGAAGTGGCTTGCATGCTTATTTGAACACAGGATATTTGCTGGGATTTGTATTCAGCACAATAGCCTTTTGGACCTGCTGATTGTAACATTATAGGTTCCCTCTCGTTCTGTCTGTTGTCCCAAAAGAAGATTGCACTTCTTGAGACTCTCATGACATTTGACTACAGCAGAATGTAGTTGGCTGATGGTACCCAAAGGACATGATGGCAGAGGGCACTAATGAATGACCATGTGCTGGACGGTCATCATCTGATTCCTGCTTTATCAAAAGTGCTAACTTCCCAAGCACTTTGTTCTTTCATGCATGACATTGTACTGTTATGGAAATTGTGACATTCCTCAGCAGCTGACTTATTCCATCTTAGATGAACTTTTCTCTAAGCTACATGGCTCCAATAGAGTAAATCTGACTAATGAATTTATAGGCAGGCTTCTGGCAACATAAAAGATTCTGGCCTCCCTGGAAAAGGCTTAAACATTTTCCTGTTGTTTACGAGGAAAATTAGTTCTCATGATTTATGTTTTTTTGAACCTAATTTTATTTAGCAAAAAACTCTCTGCAAATGTAGGAAACCCACCCTAGAAAGGCATTTAATCTTTAAACCCATTTAGTCCTATCAGTTGGGGTTGTTAAAATAAACATGGATGATTCTTATATGCCTGGGGGTTGACACAACCGCCTGGTTTGCAAAAGCCAAGATAATGGTTGTGTTTATTGTAGACAAGGATGACCTTCCCTTGGGGCCTGGATTGATTTCCAACGGAAAGATTAGATTATTCTGTAAATCTAGGTCCCAGATGAATGCTGTTCATTGTTTTACACTATTTCCATTTGTTGGCCCAGTTGTTTGAAGGACAGATGCAGTACTTTGGAAGGTCTGTCTCACAATTTAATTTTTCATTTCTTCATTTTTAAGGCCTCATTTGGCTTGGATTTATTTTAGGTCACAGCACAGAGAAGTAGAGGAAAAGCAAAAGAGCTGGAGTTCTTAACTTGATGGATCAGAGACTTAAATTTTTTTAAAATGAAACTTCTCTCAATTTCAAAAAATTATAAGAAAAAATATCTTTACCAAGTCCACTCAATCCTTTGTGCCTCATATAAGTCATCTATGGTGTCTTTCTAGACAAGGGTGACTTACCAATTACTCAAACTGCAGACCCTGGAGGGGGAGATACCCCCTATGGTTCATTGTTTAAAGGTGGTAATTTTATAGCATTTCTTACTTCCATCATATTCTTCTGCTAGAATAATAGCCACTGGGATTTTCATTAATTTTCATCATGGTTTTGCTGCAAAGAATCAGGAATTCATTAAATTGGAAAAAAGTGTAGCCTTCTTATTCAAACTCCCATCCACTTATGATGCACTTTCATGTATTTTAACTGCACGGCATATAATAATGGTGTAAAAAATATAATTACATAGCTGCTAATATACTGATAATCAAAAGCATATTAGGTATGTTTTGCATTATTTAGCCTGTGTGAATACTTGTATGTGGTAAAATGCATATCTATTATTAACATCACACTCTACTTGGCTAACACAATTTTGATAATACATAGGAATAGTCCAGTCTACAGGTGTCCTAGAACTACTGTAGATTTGTCAATGGGTCAACCAAGACCTAGCAAAGATATGGAGAATTCTGTGTAGGATATTATATTTTCCAAATCTTTTCCTCTCTTCTCCATAGAGAAGGGTCACCACAAAACGTCACCCTCAAATAGAGGGTGCTCTCATAGTCAGGAAGGCTATCTTGGGCAGGGTGTTGATTAAAGACATCATGTGCCTATCATCATTCTGGTCTTCTAATCTGGATATAACTAACAAGCACACATAGTTTCCTACTGCCCACATTTGAGTTGCTTGACCACAGAATAGGAGCTGCCTTAAATAGAAAATGACTTTTAGAAATCTTTCAGTCCACAAAGATGATGCTGTCACATAACATTGTGACTCAGTGGGTTGGCAGACCCTTTTTTTTTCACAGTATGCAGAAAATGTATTGTGTCCATCTTCACTGGGAAAGCTTTGTCCAGGGATCAGGTGATGGCAGCTAGTCTTCATCTCCAAACCCATGATGTACATCAGGTACCACCAAAGAAACATCATGGCTGGAGGGAGGGGTAGAAAAGCAATGGAGAGGAGCAGTGTTACAGATTGTTAGAGAATATCAAAATTCTTATATGCAAATGTGGAATGTGTCCAACTCTCAGGCCACCTTAGGAATTTGCGGCATCCTTTTTTTGCTGAAATGCATTTATGTGGAGCTTTAGAACTTTGAATCTGTCTTATCAGCTACTTTAGTATGTTGCATGGGTCCAATAGAGTTGGAAGCTCCTTCTCGTCTAAGGGTATTTGTAATGCAAGAACAGATAGTCCTGGACACATGTAGGGGGAGGTGCCTGAAGACAAAGAAGGCCAATTTGAGACCATCGATTTAACTCCATTACAAAAGTTCGACAGACTAAACTCTGTGTTGGACATGGGGGTAGGGGCACTTTCATGTGGCCCTGTTTCCTCACCTCTTCCTTTTCTCTGTTTTTCTTTCTCAATCGGTTTCTTAGAAGAAAGACATTGTGCTGTAGAACCAGCACTATACTTGGAATCAGAAGACCTGGGTTTAAGTATCTGCTCTGAGAAGGTTTTGTTAATCTCCCCAATTGTAGTTTCTTCATAATAAGATGGGACAACCTCAGATCTGTTGTAAAAAATTTGAAACAAGTAAGTAAGGACTTGGCATGGAGCCTGCCACATTGTGAACACTCAGTGGATTCCAGTGACTGACAATCCACTTTCAGAAGAACCTTTTATGTTGGGGGTAACATTTTATCATCCTTAAAATAGCAAAAGTTCAATGTCCTTATTCCCTACCATCTGGAAGCTGTGGGAAGCTTTCATTTGGATAGCATCCATGGAGACCTACCACATGCAAAGCCTGGGTGCTAGGTGTTGTGAGAGTTACCAGGGTTCATCCTTTCCCTGGAGAGGATAAAGATTACATAAGGGTCTGAGGGCAAGGGCATAAATTACTATGTAATAATCACCTCAAAAGGCTCTGAGAGGCTGAGGGAAATAAAAAAAGTGGGAAGTTCATCCATGGCTATGAGAATCAAAATATTTCATGATGTAGATCTGTGTTTGCCAATCTAGGCACAACACATTCTCAAGAGTCTGAGAGCTGCACATAATGAAAAAAAAAATGTTTTTCTTGTACTTGAAAGTCACAGTGTACCATCTTACCTGAGATATATACAAAACTTGTCTTTTAAGTAATAATTTAGGGTTGAAAATATTTTCAGAAGTTTCTTAAGATATTGATTCCAGAACTAGCAATCTGAATATTGTTTTCCTTTGTGAGGTTTTTGTATATTACTCAAGAATAAGAAACTGTTTTTCAGATGAGAGTGGGGGGTTGGGTAGAATTTTGACCCATAGCCTTTCTGGGTTTCTGATTGAGAGATTGCCCCCTACATTGAAAGACCCCTTCAGCCCCATCTGCTGTCCCATTACAGCTATTTTTGGGCTGTGGCTTCCTTTCCTTTGCTTCATTTGTCAGTAGACTTTCTATTTGTCTCCCAAAATTTGTTAGAATCTTTGGTTGGCTTATGACTTCCCCCTCCCATTACCTCCACTGTTATGAAATTATTTGTTTTGCATTTCCACAATGAAATTAATGGGGTTTTGGGAGGAAGGGAAGTGAACTCATTAAGAGTTTTACTTTGAACGAGAAGCTCGTATCTCTTGTGCCACCTTTCCATCCATCCATCCATCCATCCATCCATCCATCCATCTGTCCGTCCATCCACCCATACATCCCATAGGCAAAGACTTGTTTACGGTACAGTGGTTATGAATAATTCAGGAATTCCAAATGGAATAGAAACAGAACTGTAAACAGAGGAAAAAAATTCCTTCACCTTGCAATCTAGGCAAAGCCATCAAATTCTTCATTGTACTTCTGGATGAAGATTGAAGGATGAGGCTTACAGTGGGTGAGGGGTCTGGGAAAATATCCAAGCTTTCTAGAGAGAGTCTGAAACAAAGCAGGTGGACTCCACCGGTAGCTCTGGCTGCTACCAGCTCTGGCTTTACTACAAGCTTGTTGACTTACCTTGAAGAATCATGATGCCACACCCCCTTCTCAGCAGAGCTGAGCAGCCTGCCCATTGTCATTCCCCCTTACCCAGTCAGTGCCTTCCTTGCCTCCTTGCCCTCCTCCCATATTCCAACTCACTCCTGATAGTCTTAAAAAAAAAAGTTCTTCTTTGTGACCCTTATTTTATGTGGTTTCTAGAGGTAATGTGGGGTTAAGATTAAGGTACATTTAAGTTTAGCAGAAGACTTTTGCCACCTATTCACTTACTAATTTATTCAGACACCAAGCCTGTATTTAAAAATTACTATGGGGGCACCTGGGTGTCTCAGTCACTTAAGTGTCTGACTCTTGATTTTGGCTCAGGTCATGATCTCACAGTTCGTGAGTTTAAACCCTATTTTGGGCTCTGCACTGAAAGCATGGAGCCTGCTTGGGATTCTCTCCCTCTCTCCTCCTCCCCTACTCTCTCAAAAATAAATAAATAAACATTAAAAAAACATATTTAAAAAACTACTATGGAGCAGGTGCTCAGACTTCAAAGATCATAATACAGTTTCTGTCTTCAGAGAACTTCTAGCCAAATATGGAGTTAAATATACAAGTAGATCATGTCTGTGTTACTGTAAAAATGCTGTGGTAAGAGAAAGTAGAAACTGTGATGGAAACTCAGAGGAAGAACTTTCCAGAAGTTGGAACTGAGGTAACAGGGGCTGGAACTTGAGCTGGATTGTTGGGAGGTAGGGAGGAGTTTGCTAGATGGGAAAAGGCAAAGGGAGGGAAAGCTTTTTAGAGAATGAGAATCCTCCCATTGCTTGTCTAAACCTGTGGCAAAATGCCAGACCATGATGTGTGGAGGGGAATTTCAAGTAGCACTATGTGTCTTGAGTTCTCTGGAAGATTATAAGTAATGTTGGATTTGTTGACAATAAAGCCAGTCCTTTAAAGAAGTGGGGTTGGGGCACTTAGGTGGCTTAGTTGGTTACATGTCTGACTCTCAGGTCATGATCTCATGGTTTGTGGGATCAAGCCCCATATCGGGCTTGCGCTAACAGCACGAAGCCTGCTTGGGATTCTCTCTTTCCCCCTTTAACCGACTCTCCCCCTCTCCCTCTCTCTCTCTCTCTCTTTCTCTCTCTCTTTCTCTCTCAAAAGAAATAAATAAACATTTAAAGAAGTGGGATTGCCCCTATCATCTGAATTTTACTGAAGCCCCTGATTTCTAGAAGAGATTCAATACTCCAAGGATGTTGGGAATCCCAGGCATTAATCCTGTCAGTTGAGAAATGAGTGCCAAGTCATGGTAAGGCTTGGAGACAGACAAAAATGAATAATGGCTTCTGTTGTCTGGAACCTCAGACTCTAGTTTGGAAAGAGTCTCTGAAAACTCATGGATATCTTTTCAGGTGATAGTCTGTAATTTTAGTTCAGAGAGAGGGATGTTTATGGAGTCTTTGCCTTGAGGTCCAGCAATCATGGCACCACTAGGAGACATCACTGAGGGTCTTGAGAATTTTGCAGGAAAGAATCATGTCCCAGGAGGACTCCTCTCCACCAAGTCTACTGAGCACCCGCTACTTGGGTCTGTGGTTTACAAGTGTGATCTGGAGACCACCAGCATCAGTGGCACCTGAGAAATTGTTACAAGTGCAATTTCTGAGGCTGCCAACCGGGACCTCCTAAGGCAGAAATTCTGGGGGCAGGCCCACCACCCTGTTTTCACGAGCCCTTCACGAGGGTTCTGATCTCACTCCAGCTGGAGAATCACTGGCTGGGTGACTGGTGAACTTTTCTGGTGCTATTCCCATGTCCTGTCAAGAGAGGGAGCACTTTGCAGGCCATTGCACTCTTACCCCTTCTTTCCTAAAAGACCTAAGTTGGTTTTTTGAAGAGAGGACTCATCAGATCCAATGACAACTTTTTTTGTAGTAAAATGCACACCACATATAATTTACCATTTTAACCATTTTACAGTGTATGATTGAGTGGCCTTAATTATATTCCTGATGTTGTGCAACCATTACCACGATCAATTTTTAAAACTTTTTTGGTACCCCAAATAAAACTCTGTAACCATTAAGGAATAGCTCTCATTCTCCTCCCCACCAGCCCCAGATTGCCTTGAGTCTGGTTATGAATTTGCCTATAATAGTCAGCTCATATAAGTGGAAAGAATCATACAATATTTGTCTTTTTTGTGAATGACCACCTTTCAAAGTGCTGGTTGTATTGGTGCTGGGGGTGCTAAGTCATGGCACCAAGCTTGGGGGTCCCTCTGTTATCCCTCAACCAAACAGGCCAGAATGGTCAGGTTTGTCTTTGCTCTGGCCTTTAGCTGGAGCAAAAATCAGACACATTTTTTTAAGCCTATTTGTTTATTTTGAGAGAGAGAGAATGCAAGTGGGGTAGGGGGAGACAGAGAGAAAAGGTGAGATCATGACCTGAGCTGAAGTCTGACACTTAACCAACTGAGCCATCCAAAACCAGATCTCCAAAATCAGATACGTTTTTATTTATTCATGAGGTCAGGAAATATCTATTGGGTACCTGCTCTGTGCTATGCAATGAGATAGGGATCCGGTCTTTCCTTTTTGCGTCCAGATATTTCTAGATGGGTCGAATCACAGGAATTTGACTAAATGTGTGATATAGCAACTGATCTACTACAGCAATATAACAAAACATTCTGTAACATTTTATTTTGCATATACGTGTATGATTATATACTGTACTCATTATACATTTACATATATATATATATATATATATATATATATATATACACACACACACACACATTACAGAATAGGCTTAGAGTCACATATCCGTGTATATTTTACTTTATGAATAATTTAAGAAAGCCCAAAGGTAATATTTGCTTTAAGTACCAACTTGAGAGTTACACACCTCTGTAGAGAAAGAGTCCCCTGTATGTGAGAGTTTATTGGAATCCCCACCCTTCTTCTTCCCCTCCTCAGACATTACTCTTCCTCGTCCTGGCCTTGGGGAGTCTCAAAGGCTTGTGTCCAAGTCCTTGATCCTGCTGCCCCTGCCCCTGAATTTAGAAGTCCTTCCAAACCATTTCTGCTTTGCGGAGTTGCTCCTCTGACAGACCAGGTGGGGTGGGGTTGTCCCAGCCTTGGCTGCAGAGCTGAGCTCCTGGTTCCCTGGCTCAGGCAGTAGCCACCCCTCCATCACACTTCCTGCTGAGTATTACTAACCACACCAGTCTGAGGTCTGTGTTTCAATTTCTCCTATAAAAATTTCCCATGATGAATGATGGCTCCCACAAACTGTCTTTGGCAGCATCTGGACAGAGCTGGGAGGTGGGGGTTGTTTTTTCTTCCTCTCCCCCACCCCCGCCCTCCAGAGAAAGAGGGACAGTTTCCATGCTGGGCACAGGATCAGTTCAACCTTTACACTATGTGTTCAGGGTTTTTCTTTTCTTTCATGATGCTAGAGCCATCTTGGTTTCCATTTTTATTTTCTCCTCTCTCCCTTGAAAATGGTGATCAGGGGCACCTCAGTCAGTTAAACATCTGACTTCGGCTCAGTTCATGATCTCACAGTTCATGGGTTCTGGGTTCGAGCGTCACATCTGGCTCCACGCTCACAGTGTGGAGCCTGCTTGGGATTCTCTCTTTCCCTATCTCTCTGCCCCTCCCCTGCTCTCTCTCCTCTCAAAATAAACATTAAAAAAAAAAAAAAAAAAAAAATGCTGATTAGCAAGATCCATTTTCCATCCATTTTCCTTGGTAACTCAGCTTCTCACGTGTGCGTGTGTGTGTGTGTGTGTGTGTGTGTGTGTGTGTACTTTTATCCATCCTGCTACTCGCTTTCAAGCCAGGCAGGAGGCCGGGACTGTACCAGATGGCGTTCTGGGTGCCTGTGCTCTGCAGGCAACATGTTCTATCCCTTGTAAAAGTCCTCTTGCTTTATCCGCCTGTTATTTAGCTAATTCCTACCCACCCCCCCCAACAACCACCACCACTTTCTGTTTCTGCTGTTACACCCCCACATCCCCCAGCCAGCTCTAGAGAGGCTTTAGGGGCAAATTCTTAGGACCACTTCCTTCTTTCTTTCTGACCATTTTCTTCCTTCTTTCTGAAAGCTCTATGGGCCCAGTGTTGGGGTTAAGGGCCCAGGGGCATTAAGTGCTCAGATGTTGGGTCAGACCAACTCAAGGCCAAATCC